AAAATACTTGTCCAACGGCGGCCTGGAGCACGATTCCATTCACTGAAACTCGACGGGCAGCTGACAATACTAGCCGTGAGGTGTCCCTCGTAAAATTCGAATTTGTCCGTCGGTCGTTAACCGAGAAATCCAAAACCACCTTTCGCCCGTCGACTCCAAACTCGCTTTCTCTCTCGCTTTTTCTCTCCTTCTCTTACTACAGGCGGTCGTACGGAATAATCTACCATCCGTAGAACAATCTATCACGCTGTACAACGAAAGTTTGACGCAATGTCAAAACGCGGACCCGTTAATTTTTCATGTCGTTTCACCCGGAACTCGTGCTGTAACTGCGCTTCCTAACCCCGGTCGTATATATACCGCCAACCTGATCCACGTCGTCGACGCTGGTCCAGCAAGTTGTCTCGACTTTGCCATTCATTATTCACCACCTACACTGATACGCTACCTTTCAACAATGCGAGACGCACTTGCGTGGCGGTGCGCCAGAAGAAGAACGTGTCACATATCTGTTTTACAGATTGTCTAGTTAAACACAACTCCCTTTATTTATTATCGTATTATTTGATATAAAAGGATGTCTTTTTGGGAAATATTATTTCTTATTAAATTAAACAATGTCATTTACGGTATATTGCTGATTATTCGCATATGCGACGATCATTAAAAAGGTTTCATTGATCAAATTAATTTATGTAATGTGTGTGATAGTATGATTGTATGTGATACGAATATATACAATATATGTATGTTGCAATATTGCATAGTAAAATTTTATTTACAAACAATATCAAATCTTATTAGACCGTGAGAATTTAAATCAAATGAATACCGATGAGAACATAACGTAACGGTCAAGCCAGATCTCAGGCATGGGCGTCAACTATAATGTAGTTGATGTGGAGTACTCCATACTCGAAATTTTTTCGTGTGAAATTCTACACTTGGAAATCCAAAGAATATAAAACTTATTTCTTGGTGAAATAATTTATTATTTAATATTTTATTAAAAATGAAAGTTAATTAAACTAAATATGAAAAGACATATGTTTAACATACAACTCGATTGCCGATTTCACGATCCTCAATCGGTACTTTACTAGTGCCCAATGTCTTTACATGCCTAAAAAAAGGATAACTTTTTAAAAGATATAGCTGTGAAAGAAACTGTGTTAGAATACACAAAAATGATAGAACTCCTGCTTAAAATTCCGACAACATCCTGTACTGCGGAAAGATCTTTTTCAGCTCTTAGGAGATTAAAAACATACGTACGTTTGACAATGCTTTCTATTTTGTTAAATAGTACAACTGTTTTGCATATTTATTCGGATGTTGTAAACAAAATCTGGATTTAGAAGCTGCAATAGACGAATTTATAAGCAGGAACAAACTTTGAAGTTCTACATTTTCGTGCTCAACGCAGAAAAAGAAAGTGTTGCAACTGTACAAGTAATAAAAACAAACATGACAGAATTGTCAAGATGTATATATATATATGTGTACCAAAAAGTATATATGTATAAATAAGTGTATGTGTTCTAAATAAAGTATGTTGCAAATATATACATATGGAAAAAGTATGAAAATCACAACAACTGTCTTAAAAAAAAAAACTAATAATTCCTTACAAGCAGTTTGTATACACATTTTGCGAGAACCTTTTTTTTGGTTGTCAGTTCGTCCGCGCGAACTCCTACCTCCACACATGGTGAAATCCCAAGTCGATGTCCCTAACATCCCTCGGGTGCTTCTATATAACTGCGTGTGAATTTATATACTACATTTGTATATTTTTACTTGCGCGCCAAATTTTTTTTTGGAATTGAAACGCAACACTATTAAACTTAGAGTTATATTGATTAACAATTTAACAATTGTTAATGCTCATTACGTATCTTTAGATCGATCTTAATAATGTTGAATGACATATTAAATCTGTAAATTATTAATTTTTCATTGCGAAAAATATTACCTTGTCCGGTAGTTGAACCCGTCTCTGGCATTTCGTGCGAACGTCCTAAGTCTTTAGATTACCGACTTAGTAATATTCTTCGCAATAATCAGTCTAAGTAGGAACTACGTCTTGCAGGTGTGACAATAAACAAACAATATCAAATCTTATTGAACCGTGAGAATTTAAACCAAATGAATACCAATGACTGCGGTAGTTTAGTAGTGTTGTGTTTCAAGTTTAAAAAGAATTCGGCGCGCAATTAAGAATCTACAAACGTAGTATACCAATAAATTCACACGCAATTATATAGAAGCACCCGAGATCTAGTTTAACTGTTACGGCATGTTCTCATCGATATTTATTTGGTTTGTTTAGAAAATGTAATAGGGATGCGTCAGCAGCGTGTGTGTAATTAATTGAATATTTATGTATTGTCTCTCTCTCTCTCTTACATTTAATTCTTGAGATTTTTGCAACTAATTAAATATATATATAAGTTATAACACACTATATGTTATACCGACTTTTCTGGAAATATTTTATCAAGACTACATTTATTAAAATGATATACATATATATATGTAATATGTAGTCACACGTATGTTGTATAGTGTTATTATTATATATAAAACACCATTATAGCTACTTAATCTTTCCCCTCTATCGCATTTTTACGACGCCAACTTTGCTCTAGCAGAGTCCCCACCAATGTTTTAACTTTATCGCGACCAAAGTATGATTTTACGAGAAGTTGTGGGCTAAATATGCCCGCATCGTAAAATTAATGGCGTTTCCATGAAGGAATTCGCTACTTAAAACTCGATAAAAGCCAATAAAGCATCGCCGCAGAACGCAGTTTAGTCGAATTTATCGCCTGCCCCCTCTGAGAAGTCTTCGCAAGTAATCGTGGCAGGCACCTGTATCCATTTGCGACATTTACCGCGTCCTTCGCAAGAATTCACGTCATGACTGGCAATGTCGCTGTATATAACGACGTTTCTCAGATACGAAAAATCGCGCAGCCATCTAAGCATTGTAAGCCGGCTGTACATGGCAAACTACTGTTAATTTTCATTAACCGTGACGGCGCAAAAGTGAAGTTACACGCGGGAAAAGTTGTAAGTGCTATAAAGCTTCGTTCGCGAAATTACACGCGCGAATGGTAAATGGAAAAGCGGTGCCTGAAAGAACGTGGACGGATTGCAATTACCCATACCGCTGTTAAAGCTGTTAACTGCGGTGTTGCGATTGCAAGCTACTTTACTATTTTACAAGTATGCAGTTGCATAAAAACTGAAACTGTTTCTTTTACGATTTCTTTTACGATTTTCTCGCTCATACTTACTGTGATAAATTTTCACGGAAATTGATAAAATATCGAAATAAAAGTTAACAGCTGCAATACGTCATAGGTTCATGTAAATGGGCGATATCCCACTGTTTCTTGGACATTGAAAGCTCTCGTGTTATTGCTAAGGGGAGAACGGACGGACGAATGAAAAAGATCGTCATTTTCTCGTTATTGCACTGTGGAAACGCTATAACACTAAAAGTGACCATATAACATCCGTATGCATTTGTGGAATAAAGTAGCCGATTATCGTTCGTCTGCGCGCCATTATATAAGATACATCATCCAGACTGCAGATAGCCATGTCTCCCTTAGTAGCATGATCATCTTAGAATTGAACCGTTGTACTGGAGTAATAATGGCTTGGTTTATCTGCGATGGGTATTAGCTACCTATATAATGTTACCTTTTCCTCTCACAACATTTTTACTCATTGATATCTTTATAGTAACATAAAACGGTTTTATCACACGGTTTAAACACCATTCATGACGCGCTACGACATAACTTGCCAATTCTAAAACGTAAAACTTTTCGTTATCGGGATAACGGATTATACATTGACATCTTCTCATTTATTTTATTTTAAAAATAATACTTTTTTTTTTAAGATTTTATTAATTTATTTTATGAAAAATTGTGTCAAATAAAAGAATCTCGGAAGAAACTTACTTATCTCGATCGTTATTTAATATCGAATACTTTCTCGACAGTCGTGCATTTATGTCATTTATAACAATTTTTCTTTGGTCCCGATCGTCAGTGCATTTTTGAGAACACTGTGCATTCGGACCACCGGCTGAAGAAGCCGAGAATACGAAAGGACACCGATACTCACATAACTCTGAATCTGGCGAACGCGGAGGAGCGCTCCGCAACTCTTTGAAGGTTTATGCCGATTCAGAAACGAGTTGATTCATGAAGACGGCATGGACCTCCTTGGGATCTACGGCTTGGTGCACCCCAGGCCATAGCGGGTGGTCCCGCGAGTTGATTTCTTGTTTCCTCTACCGTAAACCGCGAATGCGGTAGCCCTCATCGCGTCCTTCTCTTCTCTATCTCTGTGGAAGGAGCGAGAGGGAAGAAGAGCGTCGGAGAGAGATGGAGAAAGAGAGGAAGAAGGTAGAGACAGGACGAAAGCGACGTTCCCCGCTTAGCTATAGGAATTGTCGATTTAAATGTTTACTAATAACCAGGCTTGTCCAGCAACCACCCAGAAGTCGGTCGCTTTGCATTTTTATAAGTACATCCCGGCCATCCCGGTTCCGAGAATGAGAACGTTTCATATTCATTCACCGTTCTAAAAGGATGGTCCCCTGCGTCGACTAGAAGCCTCCTCATGTGTGTATTGTCTCTACTGAATTGCACACGATGCACGATTAGGTCCTCGACTCGAATAGTATAATAATCATGTTACTCGACTCGGAAAAACGGCGTATGCTCAAGAATATTGAATTGCATTCAATTATCACACAAGTCTTTGATAAACTTGATACATATATGGAGTGTTTCTAATTAGCAATTTAATAAAAAGAAAAAAAACGATAATTTTATAGAAAAAAAAATTTTTTTTATAGACTTATGTGAAACGAAAGTAATATATAAACACTTGGTATGCATATGTAAATATTATATTTGACGATGCAATTGGGGGAAGTTATAGGTTAGAAATGATAACTCATTTGTTTTCCGTAATGATTCGTTTATTGCGAAAGGACACAGTCTGCGTTGATGTCACATGTCAGTGTGGCATCAGCGAGTTCGCGTGAAATTTTGGACACGAATGACTAAAAGGTGATGGCGATCGTTCACTCTCGACATGACATGATATGTTGACAGCCGTTGTGCCCGTGGCTTCACCTTCGTGTAACTTAGAACGTTCCTTTTCTACGCAACGACGACGGGACGCGACGGAAATTGTGTTTTCGCAGCAGATTGCGAGTGACGTATACTTGCGCATCGATTCGCGATTTGGCAGCCTTTATCCGCGTTCTTGCGAAAAATTATCACGAGCCAATAATTTTTAGCAAAATAAATAAGAGAGGAGATACTTACAAGAAGAGGAACCAAGGACTGACCTCCAAAAATCTCTATACACTCCAGCGATCCCTCGCAATCTGTCGCCGCGATTAACGACCCATACCTCGTCATGCTCGACCGAGTCGATGTGAATCGATAATATTATAAACATTGCAATAACAATCATAATAATAATCATAATAATCATAATAATAATAATCGTCATTAATATGAATTATGATCTCAGGTAGGCTAGTAATATAGTGTCTACTCTACATACAATACATACACTGGCCGGACGATTTCTCTACTGGGCCTTTCTCTACTATTTACAAACGCATAAATAATATTAATTATATTATCGTATATCTTTAGATATTTATAATATTTATATGTGTGTAATAGTACTGTCGAGTTGACGCGCTAGATGTTGTACGGTTATACCGCGATAGAATCACTATGGGTAGTCGGTACTACGAGTTTTTCCCTTTTTATCGAGAGTAATTGAGTACGGAAAATAAACCTTGAATAAAAAGTCGGAGGAGAGAAGGGAAGGGAATGAGAAATAAAAGAAACATCGACGATGACGTTGGAAATGTGAAAAAAAAACGAAAAGACTAGGAACGAAGAGCGGGTTGGGGCAGTATATCTCATCATCTCCCGTTTTATACTGTACACTAATTACAAGATTGTAGTCTCTGATTATTGTCAGCCACACCACACAAAACGCCCGCCGATGCACAGCGCGCGCCCGCGATAATTGTAGTCTCTTTAGCGATCGGTCGCTTCGTCGAGTCACACTCGTCCGGGAGATTTGAGTTCCTGAGTCGCGGGAAGACCGCCGCCCGCCGGATGGGGCGACTGATCGGATCCACCCGACGACGCCGTCGACGACGATGATGGCGACAGACCGGAGGACGCGGTAGTCAGTAAAACTGTCGATCCGGCGGTGGTACCGCCAACCGTGGCGCTACCACCGTTGATCGAAAAAGGTTTCACATTACCGGCGGCGGAGATCGACGAGGACGTGGACGTAAGTATGCTCGGGGCCGTGGATGGTGGTATCACGCCGCCAAGTCCACCAAGAGTCCTCGAATACGTCTCCAGCAGGGATATATCACCGGAGCCGAGATGGGACGCGCCATACAAGTTTCTATAGAAGTCCGGATGCGGTCTTACAAATTGCGTGCCCGGATGTATCGGATGGAGGGGATGATGAGGTGGTAGTCGACTAGCCAAAGGGCTTACGAGTTTGCTCCCTGTAGTACCACTGCCACCTCCACCGCCGATCCCACCCCCGCCTCCGCCCGTTCCGCTGTAAGGTGACGTGAGACCCGTCATCGTGGCTGGATTCGTACTCTGCTGGTCGCCGTCCTTGCTCGCCATGTCTGCCAGCGACCAGATCCGCGGCTTCGTCGTCACCGCGCTACCCGTGGACGGCGCGCTGGTGCTTGGCGGAAGATGTTGACTACCTGGCGACGTGCTCTCCGGCGAGGGATGACGTAACAACCGACCGTGATTTTGGGTAAGATACGCCGGATGCTGCAGTTGCAGCGGATGCCTTGGTTCCCTCTGATCATACAGACATTCCGGACTGTCCGGGCCACTGTCCGCTCGCGACTCGCTCCACTCGCTTTCAGTCCTACCTTGGACGCCCGCCGATCCACCACTGCCGCCATGTAGTAGATCCAAACGGTGCGCTGGTCGTTCCCCGTCCTCGCTGGAACCTGTACCTGAGTCTTTCGAATCTGAACCAAGAAGAAAAAGTCGAACGTCGTAATTTGGAATGCGGCTCTGATTAAAATTTTCAGTTTTTTAAAAACTGCATTTATTTAACATATTAAACAGAAGAATAATTAAAAATATGATAATCTTAGTACTATATTGTTGATCGGCATGATTGATAAGAAATGTCATTAAACTTAAGAAATATATTAAAAGAACTCACCTAGCCGATCTTTCTCATCGACGCTTTTCCTCCCGCTATCATCGTCTTCGTTATTATTATCTTCGTCTTCAACACGATTTCTCGGTTCCCACGTCATTTTGTTTTCTTTTTTCAAGCGTCTCCGTGCGTTCGCAAACCACGTCGACACTTGTGTCAGTGTCATCTTGGTAATAATAGCCAGCATGATCTTTTCGCCTTTCGTGGGATATGGATTTTTCTTGTGCTCGTTTAACCACGCTTTCAGCGTGCTCGTTGTTTCCCGTGTCGCGTTTTTTCGCCTCGCACCATTTAGATCCATGCCATAACTGTAACAAATTAAAGTGAAAAAAATTATATGTAAAATTATCTCCACATACAATTATCATTGAATTACTCTTTCTTATATTCTGCAGAAAATAATTTTATGTGCAAAAAGTGCGAACTAACAATACAATAATGACAAAGCAATGATGATAATTCAATGGCGAAAGTATGAAAGATCATTGCTTGTTTATATTCTCAATAACAACTTGTGTCTCGTAATCGGAGCGCAGATGCAGAACTTGCAGGTTAAGTCACGCGTTTATTATCCCATAACTGGTCTGGTAGGCTTCGAAACGGTCCCCGAGCCTCACCAGACCAGTCGAGTATTAAGTTCGACGCCATGAACGCGTTTTCGTTCGAGGGAGACACGTGACCTGGATAGACACATACACGGAACACGATACTTTATACGCGAGCGAGCGAAAATAAATGAGACACTGAAGAAAGAGTCAACGCCGAGAGGGGCTAGCAAATCCTCCGCGGAAGCTCGCGTCGAAAAACTTATCCCATCGCGAGGCTCGTTATGCCTGCCCCAACGTCAGTATAAAAGTCCGAGTCTTGCTCGGTTTGAAGAGCGATATAAGCGGGTAGGTACTACTTTCATCCCGAGAGCAGATCTCTATCTAACGGTTTAAGCTCTTTCCTTCCATTCTGGCCAGAGAAAAGAGAGCAGAGGGGCAAGAGAGAGAAAGTAGAGGAGAGCAAGTAACCTCCTTCTTGCCTTTTGCTTCACTCTGTCGGACTGGAGCGACCAACCCTCTGGGATCCCATTACTAAAAGACTAACCCTTATCAAAGATTAAACTTCGGTATAACTGCTGAATCGACGGGATCGAAATTAAATTTTCCACCACCAGAGCGACCGGTTAGGACTCACGGGGTACTTTCTCTCCGCTTTTTTCTTTCATTCCCTCTTTCTTTCTCTGCTTCTCGTGGAATTTTATTTTATTTTATTCTGTTCGTCTCTCTCTCTCTCGTCTTCTTTCACAGTTTTTTTCTTCGCGTGTACGATCTGGCCGAGATGTCACGATCCAAAGCTTCGGATGTCCCGAGAGATTTATACGAAATCGCCGATCTAATCGGAAACGGTTTCCTTAATCGTATACGTTATTAACGACTGCAACCTTTACTGAATTCTGTCGTAAATGTAAATGAGTCTTTAATATAAATAAAATAGCGTAAAATAGCATTATTGAAAATTACAATACCTTTAAAAAATGTTAGCATTATAAAAATAAAGTAAATACTAAGTTAATTCATCTTACATTCGAAATATTTTCAGTATACAAATGGTTGCGAAGCGAACGGAGGACTATACAGATCCTGAGCGTGAATAACTTCCCTCATAAAAATACCGCTGAACGACGAGATATCGTTGATTCAAATCCCCAACCGGCATCTCCGCTACCTTCTCCGGTGGTGGCCCCGTCACGGCGCGTCGCCATTATTGAGCTTTATTTTCGCCTTTGCACACCCCGAGACGTATCCGACGACGGAGCGAGGATGGGAAGGCGTGTATGGACGCGCGACTGACGTCCCTGGTGTTGCGTGGCGTTGGGTAGGTTAGATATAGGGGTGGTGAGCGTGGAAGTGGCGGCGGGAGATGGGAAATTAATAAAACTGTCACTTATCTACCCTTCTCTCGGAGGCAGGCCTACACACGGCATTTCTCGCTCCTCTATCTTCGTTGTCACCCTCCGCCCCCGTTCGCCACCTCCCTATCTCTTTTCATACCCTTCCTCGCGTTATCTACCTATCGCACTTTTCCTGCTTCTATTTGTCTCGCTCCGATTCCGGGGCGCCCCGCATGCGGGATTTGAAGCAGCTGAAACGAAGCGCTAAACATTTCAATTTGGCATCAGGCGCTTTCATGCCACGCGCGCGCGCCTTGATATACATCTCTCTGTCTCCTCGTCTTTCGACGACCTATCCTATCCTTCCGCTGTGTATTCCTCGTCCTATCCGCTCGACGCCAGGTCGCAGACGCGGAGGGTCGGAGATGCGCGTAACTGCCTCCGCTCGTCGAGAGGCACAGGGTGGTTTGGGCGAGCCGAAGGGGGACGGAGGATGTACGAGATGGACCAACATCGATAGAACGGGGACAGGAAAAGTGCGAGGAAGATAGAAAAGAGCCAAGAGTACCGAGAGGAGACGGCAGGACGACGGCGGTAGCGGTGGTGACGGCGGGGAGGATGGCTTAACCCCAGTCTGTTTGCGAGGAGCAAATGGCGTTCTGCAGTTATTTTAAAATTCAGCCGGTGGCAGGGGCGCGGATCGGATTAAAAAATCAGAGTGGAAGCTTGTTTCTCATGATAACAGCCAGCCGCCCCGAGAGCGGCAACTGCTGCTGGTGCCGCTGGTTTCTCCCGATTCCGCCTCTCTACTCCGCTCCATCTCTTTCTCTCTGTTTCCTCCATCCATGTACTGAGCCTGTTTTCCGTCTCTTTTCTTGGTTCGCAGCATCAACGGTTCCACTCTTTCCGTTACTCTTTCTCCTATACGTCCTTCCTCCCCCTTTACCGATCCTTCCTCGCTCCGTGCCAAGCGATTCTCCCAATCTATCTCTCGTACAGCCACTACCTCCGGTATCATCACCGCCACCAACCATCGCTATCGCCATCGTCAACCGCTTTAAATATACGACAGCTACATATGTAAATATATGTGTGTGTGTGTATTATATATATATATATATACGGTAGACCGGCAGAATATAGACGAGCTCTGTGCATTTGCCGGAAATATATAAATATATATGCAAATGTGCCTAGGTGTGCGTTGATACACATACGTATGCGCGGCATCGCGCGCATTCTCCTCTCCACAACTGATCGCATCAAGAGTGCTTGTTTCCATGGTGATTGCTAATCGGGCCGCGCCTCGTGTTCTATCCTACGCCATTTCAATCTTGTAATGCTATTCACTGTTTCGTGAAAAACTCATTATCCCGACTGTACAGTACATTTACTATAAAAATGATTAAAAGTTTAGCATTTCTGATCTTTACAAAGAATGCCTATCTATCCTTGTCAATCTTCTGTTACGTTACGAAAAAAGCTATGCTCTCGTTACTTCGAAAGCAAATCTTTATCAGAAGAAATACTTTCGACAATGTCACTTCCGATCTCTTTGCGGGCCGCAGCCTGAAGGCATCCCTGATGCAACTTTCTTTACCAACTCAACAATTATCTACATATATTGTAATCATAAAAATTCTGATTTTTATACGGAAAATACGAACTATCTATTAACCGGGAAATAGTCGTCTGTTTTCACATTCCAGCGGTGAGAAAATATGAATTGTTGTAAAATATTGTTTTGTGTAGGCATTGTTTAACATTTTTTTTCAAATAATTATTTTTTTCGAACCTTTAAATAAACAATTCCGTCGAAAACCTGCAATAAAATCGCATCATATAAATTTTTTGATTTTTTACAAATATTTTCATAATGAACTACCTAACAACCTAACATGCCTATTTCGTTTAATATTAAGATGTATTTGTTTTTTTTTAGAAAATTACAATTAAATATGCATACTAATAAATCAGAAAATAATTAATAATACAATATATTGTTAATAATAGTGATTTTAATTAAGTGAAAACACCTCAGGTAATAGTTTACGTAAAAAAATTAGGTGACTACTCCCGGATTAAAGAGTAAGCTAAGAAGTCAACTAAGATCAAGTAAAAAGATTAATTATATATTATTTTAATATCGTTTATACTAGTTTTCAATTAATTTTTAAAAACGAACAAAAGAGGAGAATGTAGATGATTAATGATACTTATTAAGAAAATGAATAAAATTTTAGTTAACAGAAACATTAATGAAGAGTTGTCCCATAAAATTACTGTTAACCGGTTTGAGAAGAAATATGAGTGTACTGATCGAGCAAATGTAAAGTAAATTTAAATACAAACGCGTAACGATGCGTATATATTATCATTAAGTGCCCACCGTACAATGTCTCAAGCCATACTAACCTAATGTATATACGAAGTGTTGATTTAATGTCGTAAAGCATTTTGATTAATGCAAGTCGTAAAAATATTATCGCTGATATGGGCAACATATTTCCATTGATGTAAACTGCATTACACTTCGACTTCTGCGAGATAATTATAACCTTCGTCTCGAATTAACGCATGTATCGACTACCACGACTGTTCCCAGTTGTATGAAATATTACTATTGCTTTTAATCGGACTACAAATTTGTGGAGGATCGCGATTTGCATATCTCGCATATTTCGATGTACGGTGCAAAGCAAAGGCTGATATATTTTGCGATTCAGACGACTTATTCGTCAAACCGAATGACCGCGCATTGCGGTTAACATCTTCCAAGGGATGGACCGCTATCGTGAATATATTTCTCATAGATAACAACCGGTTCTCCGCGCGCTTCCATGATGAAGCTTTGGATTCCGCAAGATCCAGTTAGCGTTTTCAAGACGGCGACTCATAGCAATCGAGGCGACCATTAAAAGCCAACCAAACGGCCATTTCTTTCGCCCTTTTCCCGTCGACCGGTTAGCGTAAACGCGTCCATCAAGATGTAGCCTCCAGAGAGGGTGGAAATGAGGAGGGGGGAACTCCGGGGGTGACCAAGGGCAGTTCACCTCGGGGCAGGTGTGCGGTTGGCATGACTCCGCCCCTCGTCACCGTCCGTAACTAGGGATGATATCTAACTTCGTCCTCCATCCTGCTCCCTCTCTTCTGGGCCCTCCGCGCCCAACGCTCCTTTTCAGATACAGTCGTCATACCTTATGTTTTATCAGCGCGTTACTGCGGCCATTTCAGTAGTAGACGCCATCTTTCCGCGACACGACTGTGAGCACGCACGAGGGTTGCGCTTTCGCGCGCATCTTTCCATCCAGACTATCCAGTTTATTCCAAAGTCCGCCCGCTCGCCTGCGCAACACTATCCCTGTCGTTTGAGGTCGTGCTTGAGTTTAATCAGCCGCGAGTCCGCGGCTAGACTGGTTTGCGGCCCCT